ATATTTCAACATAACAATATACATGTCCCTGTGTTTTGGACTCCTTAATTACCACAGGAAGGTGCAGCCAACCAGTGGAGTATCTACAATGGCAAGGCCAAAAAGTAGCTACTTCCTTGATCACTCAGAAAGCTAATCCAAAACAGTCTAATCCAAAGGAGCCATAAAAGAGGGCTTACTGTTTATTATATGAACAAATGTCCAGAGTAAAAAAAAAATGTTTGTGCCGATTACATCCCTATTTCATATGTCACAAAATAGAATAAGGTGACCTGAAAAGCGGTTCAACATCTTAAAATTGCCGATTACATCCCTATTTCATATGTCACAAAATAGAATAAGGTGACCTGAAAAGCGGTTCAACATCTTAAAATTGTGTTTAGGTTCAAAAGTTGTTAGATGAATTCAACATAAACACTAACAAACAAATACATCTTTTTTTATGTCAGACTAAGACACATATTACGGAGACTGCAGAAGGAGGACATATCCAGAGAGGACCTACAGAGGAACCTTGAATATGCAGCATCCGTTTTAGAAACAGTCTACATAGATGAAACAAGGTAAACAAAAAATCAAAGAAAAATATTTGATCAGCAAACAAGTTATAAGTGAATATTTCCTACATATATCATCATGTACATCCAACACTGTAGGGAGTAGGACAGGTAACACTGTAGGGAGTAGGACATATAACACTGTAGGAAGTAGGACATATAACAGTGTAGGGAGTAGGACATGTAACACTGTAGGGAGTAGGACATATAACACTGTAGGGAGTAGGACATGTAACACTGTAGTGTAGGAAGTAGGACATATAACAGTGTAGGGAGCAGGACATGTAACACTGAAGGGAGAAGGACATATAACACTGCAGGGAGTAGGACATGTAAGTGTAGGGAGTAGGACATGTAACACTGAGGGAATAGGACAGGTAACACTGTAGGGATTAGGACATATAACACTGTAGGGAGTAGCATATAACAGTGTAGGGAGTAGGACATGTAACACTATAGGGAGTAGGACATATAACACTGTAGAGAGTAGGACATATAACACTGTAGGGAGCAGGACATGTAACACTGTAGGGAATAGGACAGGTAAAACTGTAGGGAGTAGGACATATAACACTGTATGGAGTAGGACATGTAAGTGTAGGGAGTAGGACAGGTAACACTGTAGGTAGTAGGACATATAACACTGTAGGAAGTAGGACATATAACAGTGTAGGGAGAAGGACGTGTAACACTGTAGGGAGTAGGACATATAGCACTGTAGGGAGTAGGACATATAGCACTGTAGGGAGTAGGACATATAGCACTGTAGGGAGTAGGACATAAAACACTGGAGGGAGGAGGACAGGTAACACTGTAGGGAGTAGGACAGGCAACACTGTAGGGAGTAGGACAGGGAACACTGTAGGGAGTAGGACATATAACACTGTAGAGAGTAGGACATATAACACTGTAGGGAGAAGGACATATAACACTGTAGGGAGTAGGACATAAAACACTGTAGGGAGTAGGAGAGGTAACACTGTAGGGAGTAGGGCATATAACACTGTAGGGAGTAGGACATATCACACTGTAGGGAGTAGGACATATAACACTCTAGGGAGTAGGACATATAGCACTGTAGGGAGTAGGACATAAAACACTGTATGGGGTAGGACAGGTAACACTGTAGGAAGTAGGACATATAACAGTGTAGGGAGAAGGACGTGTAACACTGTAGGGAGTAGGACATATAACTCTGTAGGGAGTAGGACATATAACACTGTATGGAGTAGGACATGTAACACTGTAGGGAGTGAATATGCAGCATCCGTTTTAGAAACAGTCTACATAGATGAAACAAGGTAAACAAAAAATCAAAGAAAAATATTTGATCAGCAAACAAGTTATAAGTGAATATTTCCTACGTATATCATCATGTACATCCAACACTGTAGTGAGTAGGACAGGTAACACTGTAGGGAGAAGGACAGGTTACACTGTAGGGAGGAGGACATATAACACTGTAGGGAGTTGGACAGGTAACACTGGAGGGAGTAGGACATATAACACTCTAGGGAGTAGGACATATAGCACTGTAGGGAGTAGGACATAAAACACTGGAGGGAGGAGGACAGGTAACACTGTAGGGAGTAGGACAGGGAACACTGTAGGGAGTAGGACATGTAACGCTGTAGGGAGTTGAACAGGTAGCACTGTAGGGATTTGGACAGGTAACACTGTAGGGAGTAGGACATGTAACACTGTAGGGAGTTGAACAGGTAGCACTGTAGGGAGTTGGACAGGTAACACTGTAGGGAGTAGGACATATAACACTGTAGGGAGTAGGACATATAGCACTGTAGGGAGTTGGACAGATAACACTGTAGGGAGTAGGACAGGTAACACTGTAGGGAGTAGGACATATAACACTGTAGGGAGTAGGACATATAACACTGTAGGGAGTAGGACATATAACACTGTAGGGAGTAGGACATAAAACACTGTAGGGAGTAGGACAGGTAACACTGTAGGGAGTAGGACATAAAACACTGTAGGGAGTAGGACAGGTAACACTGTAGGGAGTAGGACATGTAACACTGTAGGGAGTAGGACATATCAACACCAACATGTTGCATCAACTATATTTCTTGCATTGATAATTAAAAAGATAGAACATTTATAAGAAGTAAATGGATAATTAGTAAATATACATTTTAGAAAGTTAATAATAATTTACATCATTGAAGTAATTACAATAAGATGTAATATATTACATGTAGATATCTTATATGTTAAAGGAACAAGTACTGGGAAATAAAGCTAAATTTTAGATCACCTAGCACATAATGCCTCTGAGCTCATTCCCTGGCACACCATTCATAATCAATATTTTTCTTTAAACATCTTCTTCTAAAGAACAGTATAATCTGAGGTCAGTTATTTCAGTTAAAAGCTATCAAGAGACACTATGTGTGTGTAACCGGAGAGGGAAAATGCACAGTCAGACCAAAACCCAGGACCTCCTGACTCTAGACGGACACTTTTCCAAACAGCTACCTGTTGCCAGCAATTGACCCAGTCCAGATTCACTACATTCTTCCCTCCTTTTTATACCCCCACTTTTACAGAAGTGACAGTGAACTGTAATTGACCTTTGACCTTGACCTTAGATACGGATGTCAGTGTGTCACATACCGTATTTGACCTTTGACCTCAACTTCAAGTACTAAAATAATGATTTCAGGAATATATCTTAGCCAAGGTTGCATGGTTGCATGTATGGGCGTCAGACTTAGTATATCGGTAGTAGGTCACAGTGACCTCTATTTGACCTTTGACATTAAGTACTGGAGCATATCTTAGCCACTGTTTCCTGTGTGGGAATCAAACTGTATATAGGTACATCATTTTAATGTGGTGTGACATATTCTTAAATGAGGTCACAGTAACCTCTGACCTTATATATATAATTAGGCACTAAATTAAAGTGTAAAACAACTGTACAGGTTTACAAAGCACATCTTGACTACTATTTTATGTATGCACTTCTGACTTGATGTGAGGGTACTAATTAGTGTAGATGAAGATTTCTGGAGGATATCTTGGCTACTTACTTATATCAGACTTGAGGTAAACTTACATCATGGTCAGATGGTGTGTTGTCAGGGGTGTAATGAAATGAGGTTCATTAGGGCAACATGCAACTATTTGACCTCAGGAGCTCAAGTACTAAGTGCTATACTGTACTACCAAAGACAACACTATTTACAACCCAGTTCAGGTATCTCCTTGTCGGGGTACACCCAGTTCAGGTATCTCCTTGTCGGGTACACCCAGTTCAAGTCCTTGTCGGGGTACACCCAGTTCAGGTCCTTGTCGGGGTACACCCAGTTCAGGTATCTCCTTGTCGGGGTACACCCAGTTCAGGTATCTCCTTGTCGAGGTACACCCAGTTCTTGAGACAAGAGTTGGTCACCACTGTAACAAAGAGAGGAAGACTGCACAGTCAGACCGTGATTTTACCCGGGGTAGTATGGTAATATGAGGCCATGGTGAAATGAACCGCGGTTCATATTACCATGATGGTAATATGAACCTCCCCATAGCGAAATGAAGGCTACCATCAATTTCTATTCTGACAAACTTTTTTCCATTAATTTTCTTTAAGTTAACTTCAATTTGAATTAGTATTCTATCTGAAAATGACAAAAATTAAGTCTTGGGTAGAGAAACTTAGGGTGGGGCAGGGTTGCTTCACTTTACCATAATGGTGAAATGAAGGGTTTTAGTTTTTTTTTATCTATTTGACTTTCTTAAACCAAATCTGTTTTAGTTTACATCAGTTTGATGTCCTGAATATGAAAATGACAAAAATTAAATCTGGGGTAGATAAGTTTACGTTGGGGCAGGGGCGCTGACAGGCTGTCTAATTTTATAAAAGGAATAATAACCTTAATCAACATTTGAGTTTACTGGAGTCAAATGAATAAACAGGGTACCACATCTTTGTACCAAGATGTTTGTGGAGACACGGTATAGTCTAGTGGTAGCGGGTTCGAGTCATGTCACGGCACTGTGTTGTATCTTTGAGCAAGATACTTTACTCCGGTTGTTCCAGTCTACTCAGCCGTAAATGAATACATGGTTGGGCAGTGCTAGAATCGTTGAATGCTATCTGTGAGCGCCGAAATGGCAGCACTGGCTGTATGCTCCCCAGGGAATTGAGAAAGTTATTGGCTAGTTGCAAAAGCCCAAATAACCACGGATAATAGTTTGTGAACCGCTTTGAGAGGACCTACAAACTAGGTTTTGATAAAGTGGTATATAAGAACTTTGAATTATTATTATTATTAATCTAACATCTTCAAACCAATAACAAAACATTGAGTTATAATGGTCAGTCTCTAGCTTGCTGGAGTGAACGTTATCAGTTATGTTCAAATAAATCACCTTAACCCACATCTCACATGGAAAGATTAACAAAACATGCAACTTAGAGAGTCAGAAGATTTAGGTTACAGAGTCAGGAGATTTAGGTTACAGAGTCAAGAGATTTAGGTTTCAGAGTCAGGAGATTTAGGTTACAGTCAGGAGATTAAGGTTTCAGAGTCAGGGGATTTAGGTTACAGAGTCAGGAGATTTAGGTTACAGAGTCAGGAGATTTAGGTTTCAGAGTCATGAGATTTAGGTTACAGATCTAGAGTCCGGAGATTAAGGTTACAGAGTCAGGAGATTTAGGTTTCAGAGTCAGAAGATTTAGGTTTCAGAGTCAGGAAATTTAGGTTACAGAGTCCAGAGATTTAGGTTACAGAGTCAGGAGATTTAGGTAACAGAGTCAGGAGATTTAGGTTACAGAGTCAGGAGACTTAGGTTTCAGAGTCAGGAGATTTAGGTTTCAGAGTCAGGAGATTTAGGTNGAGTCAGGAGATTTAGGTTACAGAGTCAGGAGATTTAGGTTACAGAGTCCGGAGAATTAGGTTACAGAGTCC